CGCAGGAGACGGGACCCAAGGCGGGGAGCAGCAGCGGGAGGTCCCCAGGGAACGGAGCAGGGAGCAGCAGAGCTTCCCCGCTGCCTTGGGACTCGTGTGTCCTGCGTTCACTTCTCTATGCCAGCGAGAGTGGGATCTGGAAAAAACGGGTGCTAAACCACAGCAGATAAGTCACCTGCTGGCAGATCCAGATTAATTAACTTGGGGTAATTAATAGCATATAAGCTTACAATAATTTTGCTTTACTGTGCAGCTCCTCTGTTTTACTCCACCTGGAAGTGCTTTCGAGGATGCCCAAGTGTCACCACTGCACGGCCCCAAACAGCTGCATTTTCCCACAGTTGCAAACAGCTCTATTTTCCCAAAATTCAGGCTGGATGGAAAGTGCAGCATACAAAGGACCGAGGCAGCACGGTGCCGAAACCCCGCGGTGCAGCAGCAAGGACAGCAAACGCCACCGCGGGCTGCCGAGGAGCCTCCATCCCTGCAGATGTGGGGAGCAGACACCCGTGAGACAAACGGTGTTGGACCGGGTCGGGACCGGCCTCGGGGACTGGAATCACTGCTGGTTCTGCTCGCAGTGACACATGGAGCTGCTGCCACAAGAGGATCCATCTCCTCTTCCTCATCTACCTGCTGGAGAGGAGCTCCGGGGGTGTCCAGCTCTGCTCACTGCGGAGAGCCTAGGGATCAGCTTCATCTGGATAGGTGAATGGGATCAGCTTCATCTGGATACATCTACAGGAAGGATAGGTGACAGCAATGGCACCCTTAGGATCAGGTTTTGCAAAAGCTCTAGGAGCCCCTAATGTGAATGGGCAGAAAGTGCCGTTATGAGCAGTGTACACACGTCCTGCACCCGCTCAGCCAGCGGTCTGCAAATATTTGCACTTCCAGGAAAAGAAGCGCTCGAAATTTTGGCCTAAAACCCTCTCTAACAGGGATTTATTATCTCCGTTATTTAACTGAAACTTTTAGGGTTAAACACATACAACATAAAACTGAACAGTGTAATTTATTGACACCATTTTTTTTTTTTGGATCAATGTGATTAGAAAAAATGGGTCAGGCATTTATAAAGATGCCAGGATGATGCAGAGCAATTATAATAGCTGATGATTATACCAAAATATCAAAATATTGTGGAAGAGTCAGTAAAAATAATGTTCCAGGGCAAAAAAATGATACCCTCCTCTGAGAGGTCTCCTAGTGGCCTTTGCTAGGGACATATGTCAGGTCTGACCCAACGGGACATGGAACAGGTTTGTCCATCCGCAGCTTTGGGAAGCACCTGGCCTGGAGAGCGGGATGCAGTCACATGTGGCATTTGGTAGCAGGAATCCTTCTAATTGAGCAGAAAGGAAGAGGAGATAAAGAGTTCTCCAAGAGATTTGAGTCTTACGAAAACAGTAATATTCAAAGAAACGAAAGAAACAAACGAAAAATGTAATATGAGACTGCCTATTCCTGGACCGACTCTGCAATACTCCGGTTCTGCTCCCCGGCCAGGGCGGGTGCCAGTGCTGACACTGTCAGCCCCAGGACAGGGACAGCCCTACGGACAAGCCGAGGACTGGGAGCCTCAGGAAGGCTGTTGACCCCCTCCAAAAAGCCTTCACAGGACCCCAGCTGAGGTTATTTCAGAACAGCACAGTCCAGTGACAGCAAACCAGTACCTTACACCTCTAAGCTGTTTTTATTATTTAAGTTTTGCAGAATGTTAGGTTACAATTAGTTATACTTAGCAACCCAACACCTAGTAATATTTGGCTGGTCACCATGTTTACACAGAGTGCTCTTTTTTTTAATGTAAAAGGCAATTTAAAGTGTAAGTGCTTCAAAATAGTCTAAGAGCTTCAAAGGCCGCAGGAGGCAGCGGGTAGAGGTGCAGCAAGAGGAGAGCTGTGCAGCTGCACCCCAAGAGGTTCCTTTGCCGAGGTCTGCGCTTCCATCCACGCACAGGAACCGCTCACCTCAAAGCGCGGCTCATCCTTGCTTCCTCTAAGCTCTTTCTCTCATATCCTCCCCAACAGCCCAAGAGCACCCTGAGCTCACAGCACCAAAGCACGCAGGAGGCAGCGGGTAGAGGTGCAGCAAGAGGAGAGCTGTGCAGCTGCACCCCAAGAGGTTCCTTTGCCGAGGTCTGCGCTTCCATCCACGCACAGGAACCGCTCACCTCAAAGCGCGGCTCATCCTGGCTTCCTCTAAGCTATTTCTCTCATATCCTCCCCAAAAGCCCAAGAGCACCCTGAGCTCACACCACCAAAGCACCAGAACTATCAGGGTCATAGAGCCACGCTGACATACACAGAGATACAGGACTAATGTCCCTAGCCGTAGTTAGGACTGAAGAGTAATGGATTTCATAGTATCAAATAACATTTAGAATCATCCTTGAGGTTTCAGCAAGAGAATCAAGACAACCGAGTAACACCAAAAATGGAGGAGATGCAGGTGGCAATGTGTAAAATTATGTAACTTTATATGGGGTTTGTACAGCAACAAAGATCTCATCCCTCTAGGAGTGAGTTCTCACTGTGTGAACCCCTTCCAGCTGCACCTTGGCTTACGT